AGTCGAAGAGGCCATTTGAAATGAGACCTACACTGCTGGACGTGTTTTTGGATGCTGAGTTCGAATCTGCTTTCCGAATTTGCCGAGCGTTTCTGTGAACGGTGTTATGAGGGTGGTTTCAGGAAACCTAGCATAAGAAAACTTAAATCACATGGATGCGCCGTTCTCCTCAACGGCGGCTAGGTGTGGTGGTATGGGTGACGATTCATGTGCGGGAGACTAGGGTTCGAGTTTTGTGGAGGGATGGAATTTTTGCATTATATGGAATTTTTCCCTTAAGGACTAGAAACTACTGTCATGGTGATTTTATCACGTTCTATGAAATTTTGATGCTTTGCTGATGCCTTCTCCTACCTACTTACCTGTTACCGAGTAAGAGGTTTTTCCGTGCGCAAAATTTGGAGCTCCGGGCGAGAACAAGGCATATGACGAGCAATGATGATGCAAAAGTGGGTGCTGGTGCTAGATTTGGGGCGATGGTGCGTAGCAGCTCCGGACCCACCAACACCGGCACTGTTGACAATGGACTCGTGGATATCATTCACAGACCAGAAAGCTATTCAGTGCGTCTTACCTCCAAAAAAACAGGTGAAGGGAATCGCACTCTTTTCGAGGCTTCCAAGAGGCTAATACAGCCAACAGAAGCCTTTTTAGACCATCCTTTTAGGAACATGGTTAAACGCACCACCACATATGTAATAGCTCATGATCTCAACTTTTGCGTGTACACACGATACCCCATTTCCGCCTACTATCGCTCGTCTACTTTTAGTTCTGCGCTGTTAGACCTAGGAAATTCCTCTTTTGATCATGGTATGGCGCCGGCTACTTGAATACTCACCCGGCTGATTTTGGGACGCCTACACAATTCTGTTTCCCTGCTGATTTGGGGTTAGCAACTGTGAAGCAATGGGCTGTGACGAGTCCTTTTTCATCCCTTGCTTCCAGTGTGAGAAGTTCTTTGTTACAAGCATTTCGTGTAGAGTAGCATTTGATCATTCAAGTGGCAAAAGTTATCCTACTGTGAACATAGAGTGAGGGGGCATGCGAGTAAAACTGAAGTATCACTTTACGTGAATAAATATCAGCAAAAGCATGAAAAGTCATAAAACGTGATAAAATCACAATCAGAGCATTTTCTATTTCTTAAGGGAAAAATTCTATATAATGCGAAAATTCCGTCCCACACAAAACCCAAACCCTGGTCTCCCGCACATGAAGCGTCATGCTTGCCACCACACCAAGCCGCCGTTGAGAAGAAAGGTGCATCCATGTAATTTAAGTTTTCTTATGTTAAGCTCCCTGAAACTACCCTCATAACTCCGTTCACAGAAACGCTCGGCAAATTTGGAAAGCATATTTGAACCTAGCATCCAAAAATACGTCCAGTAGTGTAGGTCTCATTTCAAATGGCCACTTCGACTTGGGATCCTTCCCTGGTCAGTAATCAGGGATTAGGTGGACCAGACACGTCATGCGACTGTGTGATAACCGTGGTCTAGGATGGTTACAAACTGGATTCCTAGAGATCAAACGAACACGGACAGATGCGGGATGGTTAGACTTCTTCACAAAAGCTCTGGCTGACAGGAATGCTATGCCCCATGTCTCTTGAGCAAGGGATTCACTGGACCACTCCGGCTCGCGACAAGGACGAGCGAAGACGTTACTTGTGCCTACTCGAGTAAATCGGTGATCTCCGGGGCGACAGGTTATAGAGGTCAGTTTAAAAAGGTTAGCACGCAACCAACGAAGCGAAGTCACACTGCAGGTGTGTGAGTGGAATTGCGAAGCGACTGAATTCAGAAGAAATGCTCCATAACTGCATATTACCCTGGGTTTATTATGTAGTGTTTATTTTCATTCAGTTTGTTTCACCTTCTACCAGGTTTGATACTATTTTTCCCCACTTTATTTGAAAAAAAGGACGTTACACGACTGTTTCTAGACTGTTATGCCGCAATTCAATTTCTGCTTGGCTCATTTGAATTCAAAGTTCTCTTTTTGCTCTGCGCTGATCAATCGACCTTTCTGGCAACATTCGGTGGTATTTATATTACTTGTCGTTGCGCCTAAGGATTTACTCCATCTCTCTTCCGCAGTCATTTGTGGAGTCATTTATTATTATTTTTTATTATTATTTACATTTCAATTTATTTCAATTCAATCAATAGGATGCCTGCAACTTATACCACTTCTGCTAAAACTAAAAGATCTCCATGTATTCCATATAAACATCGACCGTCACTCTTGAGAATGCTATTATTAGGTTGTTCGGAAAGAATTGCGCGCTAACTTTGTCCACTTATTTCTCTTCTACTGGAGGAGATTTTCTGAAACAGTTTTGTCTTTTAGGAAGAATTTTTTATTGCGCATCTTTTGATATATTTCTTTTTGTGTCTACTTTGTTTTTTTACCGAAGGGAAAAAGTTTAGGAGATGCTTGAACTAAAATTGGCCTAAAATTGCTTTTGCGAGCTTGCATGTGGTACGACTCCAAGCAAGAAAAATCGGCTGCTGAATCTCATCGTACCATCTCTGAAGTATTCGGCGGTGAAGCCCTGTCAGGAAGCTAGTGTCGACGATGGTTTCAGCGCTTCAAAAAAGGTAATGAAAGCTCGGAGGGCGAAGAACATAAAAGTCGGCCTCAAGTCGTCGATAACCAAGTGTTGAAGGGCGTCATTAATTTGGATACACACCAAACCACCGAGAACTGGCAGTACATTTTGGCTGCTCATACTCTACCATCCATGAGCATTTGCTGGCGATTGGCAAGACGAACAGGTGCAGAAAATGGGTAACGCACCAGCTGAGCGACGCCAACAAGGCAACACGGGTGGCGATGGCAGGAATTCTTCTTCGTCGCTCCAAGAACAATGGTTTTTTCAACTCCGTTGTTGCATCAGATAAAAAATGGATCTGTTTCGACAACGTAACACGAAAACGACAGTGAATAAATGCCGGTGACACTCCAAAACCGACTCCGAAACCGGATGTACTCGTCAAAAAGGTGATGCTCTGTGTTTGGTGGAACAGCAAAGGTTTAGTGTACTGTGAAGTCCTGGATTCGGATCAAACGGTTACGGCTAATATTTACAAAGAACAATGAGCTGCGTGGATCAAGCACTGCGTCGTCAAGGTGTTGAAACGACGTCGACAAAATTCCTCCACGCCACGCTCGTCCACATGTCGCGAAAACCAACTTGGAAAAAATTGAGGAGTAGGGGCTGGGAAGTCCTGCCTTATCCGCCTTACAGCCCAGATCTGGCACCATCCGACTACCATCTGTTCCGGCTGATGCAGCGCTCCTTGGTCGAGAGAAAGTTCAAAAACCGTAAAGAGGTCCAACTCTGGGTGTCCAACTACATTGAATCGCAGCCGGCCGAGTTTTAAAGAAGAATCTATTCTTTGCGTAAATGTTGGCAACAAGTTATTGATAGTAATGGAGAATATCTTTTGAATTGATCTTGTTTAGTTTCGTTTTTATAATAAAAAAAATTTTAAGCCCAAACGCGCATTCCTTTCCGAACGGCCTGAGTTTTACTTTCGGCCTGAGTTTTACCGCACTGTTACAGCTGTCTATGGAGGCTATTTTGACGTGATGCTGGGATTTATCGCCTGCTTTCCGCCTTCGAAAACTTAGAGTTCCGGCAAAATCAACGAGCATGCACCATGTCTTTCTGTCGTTGACTTATAGTAGCTTTTCTCATTTTGTATTGATATTTATCCATTTCTCGTTCTTCGTTATTGCTATTGACTCTTAACTCGACATTACTTGGCTCACTTTCCCTCAGCCATAGACAAGAAGGAAACGACAAAGACGTTCCTGGAGCAAGCTTCAGGAAATTAAATAGTAGGCTTGGCGCAAAAAGAATGGGCACAGAGAGAATTTGTTTATTGAAAGAAGGCTGAATGCAAAGGTTTGACAATGGAACTAGTTCAGAACTGTGACCTTTTTTCCCGAAGTGTTTGGCAATTCATAGCTGCTGGCTTTGATCGCAAACGTCTTTGTCGATTGGTTTTCTTAGTTTGTAGCGCTGGTGCACGATCCAAAACTGCTCTTATTACGGGTGATTAATTCAGACATTTTCGTGATGCTGAACCCGCTAGAGGGAGAGTCACCATGTTTTTTCCTGTTTCTTTGCAGTTAGCGTTATGAGGCGAGGCAGAGCGATTATGAAACCGCTTCTTGTCCCGAACAAGCTCATTAGCAACTAGCTACGCCTGTAGAATCTTACTTTGCGCTATTGGGCTAGGTTAACTTTAGAATTTATTCTAAAGGTAAAGTTCCAATCAGCCAGATGACCTAATGCTAGCCATATCTCATCTCCTTTTCATTTCCTCATTTTCACCGCAACGCCCTGATCTCTGCCTCGCAATGACACCTAACTCGATTCCTGCTTGGTATCCTTAGAGTTCTTACTGTGACCTTCATTGGATACCGCTACTCAATTTTTGTTTTTCTCCTGAGATTTGCACTCGTTTGTTCCTTTTACGGTCCTTCGAGCAAATTCCACGCTATACTTGTTTTCGATCCTTCTAAAATAAACTTTTGATAGATGCTCTCACCTGATTCTCGATAAAAATTGTAGAAAGTCATCTCAAGTTTACCTCTCACTTCCCTCCTCAAGCTTGTAGTGTGAACGTATGTGCATCAGGAAGGTACGGTAGAGAGAGTTTGCTTCTTGTGTTCTTTCCTATGCCTATGCTTATAATTAATCGGGCGCTGATCGAGGTTTTAAATAATTTAGCAATTCGACTGCACACGCCAACGCGTGCATCACATGTCCACAACCGCTTATATACAGTCTTACTCAGAAAGAGCAAGAAAACAGCAAACAGTGCTACCTGGCTTCTAAAAAGGAAAATCTGCTCTTAAGGTTGCCGTTTCGAATTGTCGCCTAACCAACTTCCTTATCTCAGCGGAGCTTTCTCCTTATTCGGTCGACACTACGGTCAGAGATAGTAAGCGAATCAGCGGATAGATTTACTTTCTTTACTTTCTTCTCTAATTACGTATGCTGAACTACTTCCAGACAATCAGGTTGTGAAGGTTTCCGAGGGCACTTTTGCGTGGGATGAGACAGAATTCTCAGCAACACTGAAGAGCATCAATATCAGTGTACAGAAAGGTCAATTAATTGCAGTAGTGGGCAGAGTAGGGCATGGAAAAAGCTCCCTGCTTCAAGCACTGTTAGGTGAGCGTTTGATAAAATGAGCATGCTGTCTTAGATGATAAACATTTGGGTCTCTATAAAAAGCGACATATCGAACAAAAACATGTTACCGTGAAATTGTGATGGCGTGAAGAGGAGAGGTCTGGCAGCGCAGCATTGTGCGTCCATTCACATATTCAAATACCTCTGAGTGACCTACTGTCAGTGCTCAAAGAAAGCGATAAAGGTGTCAAAAAGCGTGAAGGGTTTCTGTTAACCAGTTTTCCTGCAGGTGTCTCAGGAGAGTGAATGCTTTTCACAATGCGATAGATTCAATTTCCCACTCCCGAGGTGTTTTCCTATGACTACCTCAGCTTCCACAGCTTGTATAGGTGATCATTGAGCGGACACCTCAAACTTGGGTAATTAAACCTTTATCAATTAACGACACTATATAAAACAAAGAGAATGAAGAAAATGTTTGCTCTTTGGACCCATAAGCCGTCCTTATATACTGTGCACTGTAGGCGGGACCCTAGTTATGTTTCCATTGTAAATTTTAGATCAGCCGATAGATAACACTAAGCTTAATTTACAAGATCAGTCATACAATCTATCGATGGAATGGTACAACCATGCTTAAATCATACAAACACAATAAACTATATGCTATCATTGAGAGTATTCTCTGTAGACCTGGCCAAGAAGATAAATGTCGAACACTGGTGTACGAAATGCTTCGTTCGGGTCTTCTAGGCTGGTGATCCGTTAGCTTCGTAGAACTGTGTCGTTCCCTTTCTCTAGAAGAGCATCTTAGTCTGAGCGAGAATCACAACTCCTCCTGGTTTCCTCACATGCTCTAGAAAGACTAAGACTTCTCCCACGTCTACGCATAGTTTCTTCTCGTTCAAGCCTACGCTCCAAGTCTCGCATCTATCGTTCGCCTCGATCTTCCCTTGCTTGGAGGCATAATCTTCTTTGTTTCAGATAATCGACCTTCCTTGTTGATTCGCTCCTTCCTTGCACTCTTGTCGTTCCTTTTCTGTCGGCTAATTTACTCCCGGCATCGCCTCTCTGATCCCCTTCGTTTCTCATTCAGTCTCGCTAATCTAGCGTAGAATCCTCTCTATTTTAAGAGAGGGCTCCCCGCGTCGCGTGATTATGGGCCTTTCTCAACCACATTCCGGAAATTCAGGTCCATGAGAATTGCCTTGAGTTCGCTGATGTCTTCCTGAAGTTGCAGGATGTTTAGGGCATCTATCGTGGCTGGTACTTCCTTGGATTGCATCTGAAACTCTCTCCACTGGTTTTGCTGAATCGCTGACTGTTCCTCAAATGAAGAAGCAGATGCGGCTCCTTTCGTGTTTTGTTCCACTTGATCGAAGCGCTTGGTGATCGTGTCCATTTTCGTTGTCAGCATGTTGATTTTAGCCGTTGCTGGTGAGCTTGTAATATTTGTTCAGAATGCTTAAATTGCTGCTTGCTTTCCCCGGATGAAGCGACGGTTACGGCGGGAGCTAACTGAGGAACTTTACATCATATCCGACCTACTTGTTGAAGAACTTCTTTCAGCATTGTTCCCGGAGCGCGACCCTTTTTTGAGAGGGGGGGGGGAGACCTCTTCCCGTCTGATGACGAGGATGAAGACAATGACTAGTCTTTCTTGTGCTTGGACGTGTTGTCGAGTTTGGATGCTGTCGTTGCCACTGGCGTCGTTGTGGGATTCGGTCGTTTTGGCGGCACTGGTGGTTTGGGTTGTGACGTTTGTTTTGGCGCAGATGGTGCTGTGGCACTTGTGCTCGTTTGAGCAGTAACGGAAAACGCCTTCTTCAGTTTCTCCATCCTGAATATGCGAACTACATGAAAATAAGCGGGAATAGTAGAAAATAGTAATTCCATGCGACAATAAAATCTGCAAGCAGATGTAGCTGAGGTTTCAAAGAAGTTTAACGGGTCCTCTGTTATGTTCATCTCTACGATTTTCCATACGAACTTCATTATTAGACGTATTGGGAACACGACGCCCCATGCGACCTTGAGCGACATGCGGCCAAATAAGCCTAGGATGGTGAATCCGTACGATCAAAGGAATATATCTCCAAGAACTAGTGCGAGCGTCAGTATGATGAGGACGACGAAAACGGCTCGTACCAGTAAGCGATCACGTCAAAGATATGTCCAAAATGTGGAAGAATCAGGTCATCATAGACGTTGCTGTTGGTGACCTTTATTGCTGATCCGTGGACCGTTCGAATCCACTGTACGACTCCAGTGCTTCCGAAGGATTGATGCTTCTACCCAAAACCATGCGAGTTTTGTAGTCTCGCCGATGAGTGAGTGAATCGTAAAGTTGAAGTTGATTCTGTTCCTTGACACGGAATGGTGAGGACTGCTGCTCGCATACTACCATACCCATGGTATGATTTCCATCAGTCTTACATGTTATCTCTGCGATTGCCCTCTGGGGGAATGATAGCATCGTTACGTTACGGAATCGGAAAACAGTACAGATACAGTCCGTCACCATTCTTACGGTGTTGTCAACCTCTTCCTTCAGATGTATTGAGAGTTCCGTTGTGGTGAATGAGCGGGTCTGAGCCGCAGCTGTTGCTGCATCATCTTTCACTGTTGCGAATGTTATCCACGGGCGTGTTATGGGAGGAGGCTTTCGACTTGTTCAAAGAAAACGCCTGCAGAGTTGACGTCGGTGCATACACAGGTCACTTTGTTCTCTGCCAACTCGCATCTGCAGTTGGTGGTGATGTTCAGTTGGGCAACCTAGCGTGTTATTCTTAGTCACATAGGTAGTGTAGTGTTTCCTTGTAATTCCAAAGGGCTACTTACGATCCATCAGAGATGAATGATGAAGCTAACATTGGAAAGGGTGGGAAGAAGGGACTGGAAGGGACACGAGTGCTACGACGCATGCCAGCAGAATTCTCGCTGGAGTACTTCCCAGAGTCGAGGAACGTACAGTTACGCAATGAGTCGTAGCTTCGTTATAGTCCATATGTTTGCATAGTCGTAGATCATATCGTGGTGCGGTCTGGTTTTCCTGGCCTGTCTGGTAACTTCTGTGGCTCTTTGGCCGACGGTGGAGACTAGCTCTCGCTATCTTCCAATTCAAGTGTAAAGAGAACGTCGACTGGTATTCTCACAATGTGTCTGCTTGGTAACTTCAATTGTACTTCCCTGATCTTCTCGCAGTTGGAACTGGCTATGCTAATATGAAATTCTTTCTAGATTCCGCAAATTTCTTTGAAGAGTAGCAAGACAACCTGAATAAGTGAAGCATGTATGGATGAGCTGCGTTTACTGTCCATTGACCCCATGGGTTTCTCGGAGACTGCTGAGGTATTGTTGGCTCCATACTTCCCATAGTCGTTTTGTCAATTGATGGCTGGATTCAATAGCATCTTCGGCTTGTTTCCGCGTTCTCAGTTGAATTTCTTCGTTAGGAGGGTGGTGAGTGTGATCGTTAGAATTGTCGCAGATCGATTTCAATGGATACTATACAACCATATCCCTCTGGATAAAATGTATTGGACGGAGAAGTGGAGTGTTCTCCCATTTTTCTTTCTGTCACGTTAGAGGCCGGTTATTGAGAGTTGCTTTCCCTTCGACGAAGAGTGTTTCCAGTAATTTCACAGACTCCACTTCACGTTGCATGACTTTGTATAGAGAATGCTTCACTTGATCAAGCGTTCATAAAAAGCTTCCTGCAACGGAGAGTATGGTGTACTTGTCTTCCCAGCTATTCCCTTCGTTGCCATTGTACCTGCAACTGTAGCATCATTTATCAAGTGAAGGACTGCATCGCGGCGTATCTGTTCGCTCAACAGAAACGATGGACCGTTGTCCGACGTTATATTTGTGGAAATGCCCCTCCTTGCAAACCTGCGTGGTGCATTGAGCAGTTGATTTGCTGACATGTCCGGTACGAGCTCGAGGTGTACCAGACGCGTAACCATACATATGATAATTATTCCGTAGACTTTGGTGCGTGCATAGTTTTGGAAGACTGTTGTCTTACCGAAATAGATTGTCCCGACATGACTGATGGGACGGGTTTGCCGTACACGCCGTTCCGGTAGGTTCTCCATTTCAGGATATTCACAGGGAAGGCTGTTAAGTCTTTGGCAAGGAACACACAACCGTAAGACTTGTTTCACCAGCTGTCGTATTTTCGGGATAAAGAAGCCTCGTCTGACATAGGCAATTATCTGCGCTATGCTGTAGTGGTGAAGAAGATGCGCATCCTTCACGATTGCTCTTGCGAGATTCGTCTTGGCAGCAATTAACATCGAATGCTTAATGTCGAAAGCCATATGCGCGTTCTCTAAACAGTCTTGAATCGTAGAATTCCGAACTCATCTTGTCGTGTATGAAGCTGTTTTAGTGCGTTCAACTTTCCTTCCATGAAATGAATATACTGGTAATGGCGAATGAGCACTCGTTGAGCTGTCTCATTCTCATCGGCTGGAATAAATTCTTTATTAGGCATTCGGCGGAGTTCTGGCACACTCTCTTCAAGGCCTTTCTCAAGTTCGCATTCACCTTTAGCGACAGTTGTTGAGTGAATCGCAGTAAGTATGTTAGAGTTCTCTTTGCGGAAGGCCGATGATTGTGTTGAGCTCAATCCAGAAGCTCCGATGAAGATTTTATAGATGTTGTGACCGAGCATGATTGTTCAACTGGGAAGGCGAACATTTGACATTCCTTCGACCAGCTTGATAGACATCTTAAAAACTCTGGTCCTTCCCACCACATGTACTTTAAAAGCTCTGCCTTAGTTAGCCCTCTTGTTCCACGGTCTGATAGGTTGATGGTCGTACTCATATATCCGAACAGAACTGTGGTGTAGAATTCGTCGCAAATTCTTATTTCCGCTACTCGTTCCTCACGAGGATTCCGACCGATTGTTCCAATGTCGGTGTTTGGATCCAGTTAAGAGCCATATCTGAGCCGGAGAAAACGCATACTTGCCCAATTTTTACTCGGTGACCGATTGCCGCATGCGAACATGCTAGCCTCGTTGCCATGGTGAGCGCTTCGAGCTCTAAATTCGGAGTAGTTGGGTTGTCCTTTGTGGATGGAAGTTTGGACTTTCCAGCGAAAAGGTGGCTGCCTATTTTAGAAACGAGGTATGCACAGGCTGCCCTTCCGTGCGAACTAGCGTGGGCAAACAGGGCGAGACTCACATTCGTGTCAATGTGAAAAGTTTTCCTTGGAAGTGTAATTTTAAAATCCATTTGATCCTTCTACAATGTTCGGCCATTTTTGCTGATGTTTGACGGATAACGAAGTGTCCCAGTCGTATCCGAATTTCCAACCTGCTGTAGGAACTGCTTTCCTCGAAGGGTGAGAGCTGTGAAGATTCCTAACGTTCCATAGATAGGGGCTACTTGTTTCGAGATAGATCTCTTTGCCAACCTCCCAGAGACAGTCTTATAGTGATACGTCAGAAGAAGCTCATCGTTTCTGGATTGCCACTGTCGTCATTTTTTTGCAACAATTTAATATTCCTGAGAATCAGAGACTTTGCTTGCGAATTTCACTAGTGCACCGGTTAAGGCGACATATGAACAATCCATTTCGCAAGGAGCTACATTTGACCTGCTCGTACATAGATGAAAATATCGAGACTTTTTTGTTTGTTTTCTCACGTTCCTTCAAACGAAAAATTCAACACATTTCTAACCTAACATTGAGTGTTTACAGCTCTCCCTTCAGGATTTACATTCTGCCTCTCAACTTCCTATTCTTCTCTTGATTTTTTTCTAGGATAGCTCAGTGCATGTTCCCAACGGCACATCCATTGGGCCATGTTCACGTAAATGTGTGTTCAGGAGAAATGGACATACTTCGCGGATATGTTGGTATAAGTGGATGTATTGCATATGTCCCTCAAAAACCTTGGATGCAGAACCAAAGTATCAGGCAGAACATTACTCTCGGAAAAAGGTAAATTCTAGCTGCGACTAAAGCTCTGTGTAGTGGTCTCATAGGTTTATCTTCAGATATGATGAGTTTTTTTACAACCGTGTGTTAGATGCCTGTGCTCTATATCCTGATCTTCACAGTCTTCCTAACGGAGATATGACAGAAATCGGAGAACAGGTAATCCGTTTCCGTAAACGTTATCGGCTCTTCAGGGAGAAGTTTATGAAAAGGGCATCAATCTCTCTGGAGGGCAGAAGGCTCGTATTTCTTTGGCGAGAGCTGTTTATCAAAATCACGACATTTACCTTCTTGACGACCCAATGAGTGCCTTGGATTGGCAAGTTGGAGCACAGGTCGAGCATTCAGATATGGACGACTTCCTATTCGGTATGATTGTTTACCTATTTAGGTCTTCTCGTCAGTGATTGGGCCTGATGGAATGTTGAGGAACAAAACCAGAATTCTAGTGACAAATGAATTAAAGATTCTAAGGCATTCAGATATGATCTACGTGATGGAAAGTACGTCCCGGAAACAGCAAAATTTACTTTAACGGTTCTCTGTCTTACTTATCTAGGTCTCGACGATTGTAAGTCACAAAGTCTGCATTTCTTAAATGGCTCTTAGAGAGTGATTCAATTCCTTCCCCAAAAACATGTGCAATATTCGTGAATCCTTCTTGCAACAAAGCGTTTTGAGCAGTTCCAGTATGTGGTACATACTCCGGCACCCACTCAAGCTAGCAGTGATGGCCGCTAATGCCATAGAGTATGTGAGGCAATTGAATGTTGTCGTAGGAAATTCAGTTAAGCGTCACCCATAGAAGTTGAAACTTAAGTGAGTTACCCAGAAGGTCGAATTATGCTGTAAGTTGTCAATATTCAACCTCGAATATCGAAGAAAATTATTTGGACCCTGATGATATGAATGAGAAAATGAATCTGTGAAGGACAACGTGTTGAAAAACTAAGTTTCTACAAGTAAACTACATGCTCGTGACTGATGTTCTGAAACGAGACCTGATTTGAGTCATAACTCCTGTTCCCGCTACCCTCAGGCGTTATAATTTCGCAGAAATACAGGCGGCAAGATGGTTAAACTTACCCTACCCTGTACAGTATGTATTGGGTTGTCCGGAAAGTCTCCGCCGATTTTTGATTCTTCTTTGAGTGAAAATTCCTAGAAGTAGAAATCCACTGATTAACCAATATATCCTCCACTCTGTTCAGTAAGGATTCGCCATCCTTCTATAAGTTTCAGTATCCCACTTTCACAGAAGGTTCCAAACTCAAAATCGAAAAACCTTTTTAGGTGCTTTTTGCAGTCCTCCAGCGAAATGAACAATTTTCCAATCATAGGACTCTAGAGGAACCTAAGCAAGTGGAATTCTGACGGTGCTATATCCCACTATATGGGGGGTGTGGTGAGACATCCCAAACAAGCTTCAGCAATTTTTGACGAGTGGCCAAAAATACGTGTGGTTTGGAGGTATATTGTTGGAAGGAAGCTCCCTCACGATTGACCAGTTCGGGTCGCTTCTGGTGTCGCTGTCTCCAAATTTTGTGAATAACTATAATACCTTCCCGAAGTCACCGTTTGATTACGCGACTACAGCTCATGGTGATTTCTCTGCAATCCCACCAGCAGCACGGCATAGTCTTCGGCCTCTGGATTTTGACATTTGCAACAGTTTGTGACGGCTCACTAGGGAGGCTCCACGATCGTTCCCACTCATTGTTGTACACAATAAAATTTTCGTCCTCCATACTCATGCGTCCTAGAAACAGCTCATTTTGCTTTCGTTCGAGCAACGAGTCTTACATGGAAGCGCGGTCCATCATATTGCGCTCGATCATTTCGCGATGTATACAAACATCAAGGCTCTTCACAGAACCAAGTTTCTGCAGATTCTCATGGATGGTTGATTTCGGAAAACTAAGCCCCTGTCCTACTCTACGAGTAGTATATGCCGATTCACCTCGGTCAAAATTTTGATTTGGCCATTTTAACTAATGATAGTCTCCCTGAAAGTCGCCGGTCTTCGAGGGTTAATTCACTATGTTTGGATTCTGCAAACCAGTCACGCACTGTACGATCCTCTAGAGCCTTGTCTACTCAGACGTTACAAGTTTTTCTCGCGACTTGAGCCGCATTCCAGGCCTGGCAGTAGCTTCAGCTGCCGAAAATGCACGCAAAATCCTGTAAAAACAAATTCGACAATTGCGGACAGAATCCCAACAGAAATATAGAGAAGTATATACTCTTTCAGAAAACATATAACTTTATGAAATTCGTTCCTTGATCCTTTGTACAACAGCTGATGAATCCGGGGTTTCGGAAATCGGCAGAGACTTTCTGGACAACCCAACATAATGCTCTAACTGTGTCTATTGCTTTCTCTCTCTGTGGTGTGTGGTATGTGTTGTGTGTTTGACCGAACATTCATAATTTCTGTTCCCGTGCACCTAGAGCGACCAAATCTGATAGCGGTTTAGGGGTCAGGATGGGACTCTTATCCTATTATGTTATACATAGCTCGCTGAATGAATGTGGAGGGTTCAAATTTGGTGGGAGTACGAATGACGGAATACTCATCCTATCTCACTATATACAGCGCGCTAAAAGTGTCTGTTGGTTTGTATGTGTATGTGTGTGTTTGATCGGAAACTCATAACTGCTCTCTCCGAGGCCCCAAAGTGCTCAAATCCAAGCAGGAGTACAGGCGGTGACCGACGAACCTCCTTCACTCACTGAAGGGTTCTCTCTCACTGACAGATTGCAAACGATTGGCGACGAGGTTACGTAGGGGTTTCTAGGTGGCGGATAGGCGATCAAATCGCAGACCAAATGTCGCCATTATACCCAGAGACGCAGGTGGGTTTAAGGGTAGACTCTCTGTTTCTGCCGCGCTGTTCCATATTACCTCTGTTCCTCGCAGGTATATCTACGCATGCGTGTGTGGAGAAACTGCAGGTAAAATTGGTATCCTGCCATCAACTCAACCAATAGCTTGTATTGGAGTGACTGAGGGGGGGAGGGCGATTCGGTACAGCCTTCAAAAACAAAGCTCCTCGTCCAATTCGGGATAGCCTGGCTAACACCCAGAGTCGCCCAAGCCTCCACGTCAGAGCCTGGCCTACACGATGGGTATACATTTGTCAAAAACTGTAATACAGAGGGACCTCATTCCCCTGAACGTGAGAGAGCCCCAATACGGTAGCGTTGATTAGGACCGCTCGGGAGAGGCTATTAAAATACCAGAGCCGAAGCAGGCTGCCCAAAAGGGGGACTAAGATGACGATCTATGCTTTCAACGCACGGACGCATGCATCGGAAGCGTGTATAGAAGATCTGATGATGCATGCAAGAAAGACGTCATCGAACTGACCGAGACGAGAAGGCGTCACCCGCTTCCCGCTGTACTTGGGAATGAAGAAGGAATGTTCCTTGTAACATGCGACAATAGAGGCGCAGGCGGTGTAGGTGTTGATCAACATGCACTTTGTCATAAACATCGACCCGTAAGAAAGCCTGGCGACCCGAATCGGACGTTTGCGACCAAGAAGATGTGACTCAACCTCAGCTCTGACAGTCTCCATTGCCTACGCAAGCTACGAAGAAGATGAGTAGGAAACATTTTTTATGGATTTGGAGAGGCTTTACAGAGCAGACCACTTTTTCTTTATGGTCATCATTGTTGATTTTAGCGCCTAGATTGGCCATGTTGACCGACACCATCCATGATAACTCGCAATTCCAGAAGCCCTCGCATTTGCGATGGTATTGGGAGTCACCCGGTGGGCAGTTCCATGATGAAATAGACCACATTATCTTTAATCGGATGTTTTGCTTGGTTGATGTGGCTGTTGTTCCTAAGATCTACACGGGATCGGACTATCGTCTCCTCCGCGCTAGATTTTACTTCTCGGTACGTGGAGAGAGAGACAGTCAGGAAATTCAGTAAACAAAGCTCCAGGACCTCTATCATCTAGGACTACTTCGCTTCCTATGCTAGTGAATGGGGAGACTCCGTTATCGATAACATCGACGAAGAACCAACCGGCTCGTCGGACATCTTCACGATAGTGCTAGGAAAGCAGACGGTCAGAGAGAGAGAGTAGCCAACAGACGAATTTCTTCGAAGACTCTCTAGCCAATAAGTCAGTGTGAGATCGCGCGAGTTGCAGGCAATCATCAACAAACGTCGGAACTTGCGAAGTTATGCAGAGGAGCAATAAAGGGAGATTTGAAAGAGAGAGGAGTAGTTATGGATGAAGGAAAAAAGGAAAAAGCATTCTCAAAGCCTGTCGGAGCTTCGTCACTTATAAGACCAAAATGACTTCCCTTCGTCGTCCTGAACAAACTCCGGGAACAATTACTGCATCGCGAAGGGCAATGAAGAAAGTCATGTACGACTTTTACTCGGATCTTTTCGACAGGCCACGTCTGCGTGCCTACCCACCATCTGAAACAAGACGGATATATCGCTCTTTCTGTTCTCCCTTCCAAAACTCGACATTGATGAGCGGGACACTTGCATTGATCCACGCTTCGCAGACGACCTCATGCTTATAACACTGAATATCAAGCTGGTGGAACGAATGCTGGCCGAACTACACAGCACCTGTGGAAAGGTCGACTTCAGTCTGAACTCAACGAAGACAAAGCTCAAGAAAAGCGGATTTCGTATCTGATGCTCTATTTACGCTGAACGGAATACCTCTGAATGCTCTAGCTACGTGTATCTAGGTCAGCAAGCCAACATGACGAGCGACCTAGCTTCAGAGCTGAGCAGAAGAAAGCGCGTGGAGAGCGTTCAGGAAGATCGAGGTAGTAGTGAAGACAGAGAACATCCTGCCCCGCGTTCACCTTTCAAAATGCTGCCCCTTCTGCTCTGGCGTACTCTACGAAGGTTCGTGCGCTACGAAAACCGGATGAACTCGCCGTCAGCATCACTTAACGCGCTTCGGAGGGCGATGCTCGGATTTCCACTATACACACAAGTGCAGAAGGGAATCCGAGTTTCGAGCCCCGCAATCAAAGGAAGGTCTGATATGCTATTGCTTATGCGAAGAAATCAAAGGTAAGGTGAGCCACGCGTCATGCGATTTTGTGATAACCGTGGTCTAGGTTGATTACTGTCATGATTCGAGAGATGTTAAACAATAGCCATTACGGCTGCCGCTGGTCACGCTTCTTCACGGAAGCCCTCAATGGTAGGAATGCTGAGCCTTGTGTTCCTGAATCGAGGACGACTCACTAGACAACTCTGGCTCGTATGCTCGATGGATAAAGACGTTAATGGCGTTCACCCGAGGAAATCGGTGAACAACGGGGCGATGGGTGATACAGGCGGCTAAGTGAGAACACCTCTCCTATCTTACTATCCTCTCTATATATAAAGCGCTAACTTTGCGTGTCTGTTTGTATGCCCGTTTGTGTGTCCTCCCAAAAGTCACGTAGGCACGATCAAGAGCGTGAAGATCACAAGAGCGCGGTAAGAAAACAGTTATGAAATGGAAAGTAAACCGATGCCCTTCATATTGGTCCCTT